AAGTTTGGAGGAGATCCGTCTGAGCATGGTGAGTCTGTTGCCAATTTCCGTGACAATATTGAAAGCCAGGTGTCTGATGACTCACAAAGACTTACTCGCTTACTTGCTCAGTGTGTTGGAAAGGCGAGAGATGCTATCAAAAGTTGTGTTAACCTTCCTGTTGGTCAGAGATACAATGCAGCCTGGAAAACCCTGTTGAAGAACTTTGGACAGCCTCACATGGTGGCTGATGCTCATATGAGAAAGTTGAGGGAGTACAACCTGAGAAGAGTCGATGCCACAAACCTCGTGCTATCAGTGCTCTGGACCTCATGCGATTTGGCATTGCGAGGTTTTTAGAAATTCATCTCATGAAGATTGATTGCGAACCGTACAACAGAAGAAACTCTGTGGTAGTTGCCTTGGACATGGTCACTTCTCGAGATCTTGCCCAAAGGGATATTCTTGTCGGAAGCCAGGATGTGGAAGGAAGCACCGTTCACTTCTTCACCCTCGTGAGAGCAGAGGAACCATTGGACCTGAAGTAAAACAAGACAGTGCCAATCAGCAACCCATTATTCAAGACCAGAGTTTGGTTGGTGGAACAGCCTCAACCATAACTGAGTCCAACCCCCCCTCAGTTACTGAATCAAGCACATTTGCAGTATCCAGAGATTCCATTCCAGTGGAACCCACAGCGAGTAATAGACCAGGGGTCTGCTTCAAGGTCGTCCCAGTGAGAGTCAGTGGGCCAGGTAGCAATAAACAGCTTGCCATGTATACCTTCCTAGACAGAGGGTGGGACTCTACACTTTGCTTAAGAAGTCTGCTAGAAGAATTGAGCCTTAAAAGCGAACCCACTGATTTCACCCTTTCAACGGTCAATTACGAAGGAAAGGAACATGGCCATCGAACCCGTATAGATATAGAAGCACTTGACAGACAAACAATCAGGTTCTGACGACGCAGAGCCTACCCATTGGTGAGAGGCACTTTGCCAGCAATAGAGAACTGAGAAAATGGCCATATCTTGATGGCATCAGTCTTCCTGAAATAGAGAAGCATAGTGTCCCGATTCTTATGGGCAGTGACCGACCAGATATTATTGATGACAGTTCAGAGATCGGGAGAGGAGATAGAGGCCAGCCCTCTGCTGTGAACACTCCCTTAGGATCGACAGTGTATGGTCCAATGGGTGAACCTAACGGTGATGGTGTCCACATCAATTTCAATAGGAGTGATCATGAAGAGACACTAAGTATGCAGCTGGAGCATTTTTACAATACCGAGTTCAAGGATACCCTCATGGATGTTGAAGAGAGTTTGTCACTTGAAGACCGAAGAGCGAAGCAGATTATGGATGAATCAGTGGTCCTCGTCAATGGCCACTATCAACTCAAGCTGCCATTCCGACACAATCCCCCGTGTCTTCCCGACAGTCTCCCAGTACCGAAGAAGAGACTGCACTGGTTGAGAAAGAAGATGAAAAGGAATCCTGAATTTCACCGGCAATATGCAAGTTTTATCAATAAATATCAGGAAGAAGGATCCTCAAGACAAGTTCTAGATGAAGAAGTTTCTTCCCTCAAACCAATTTGGTACATACCAGATCATGCTGTTTGGCATCCAAGGAAACCTAATGAGCCAAGGGTGGTGTTTGATTGCACCTGCAAGTCTGAAGGCGTCTCCCTGAACAATTAGCTACTGCAGGGGCCAGAGAACACAAGTTTGTTGATAGGAGTGATTCTCAGATTCAGAGTTAATGGAGCAGCTGTAGCAGCTGATATCAAACGCATGTTCCATCAGGTGTTCGTGTCCCTGGAGGACCGAGGTGCTCTGTGTTATCTCTGGTGGCCAGGTGGAGATTTTACAAAGGACCCAAAAACCTTCCAGATGTTGGTTTATATCTTTGGAGCGACTTCGGTGCCCAGTGTTTGCAGTTGCACATTAAAGAGAACAGCTTTAGACAACAGCGAAACTTTCTCCTTGGAGACCATTGATACAGTCCTGAGAGACTTTTATGTTGATGATCTGCTCAAGTCCTTCAAAACCAGTGTTGATGTAGTACAGATTACAAAGGAGCTTCAAGAGCTACTTGTGAAAAGAGCATTTCAGTTCACCAAGGTGAAGTCCAACGAACGAGAAGTCCTAAACGCTTTACCACCTGAGCATCATGCACCAGCCGTCAAGAATTTGGATCTCAAGCTAAACAGCCTGCCAATGGATTGAACCCTAGGGATTGATTGGGATGTGGAGGTGGACACTTTTAACTTGGTTGTTTGCGACAAACCTCAGCCAGAGACCCAGAAAGGCATTCTGTCCTCTATTGCCACGATATGTGATCCCCTTGGTTTGGCTGGTCCCCTACTTCTGCCTGGTAGGGAGATAAACCAAGAGCTATGTAGAATGAAATATGGATGGGATGGCAAGCTCCCAGATGAATGGTGGTGACGTGGAGGAATTGGAAGAGTGGACTCGCAAGCCTTACAGGATACAGCATCCCTCGGTCCCTCACTCCTGGAGGCTTTGGAGAAGTAGAGAGAGCAGAACTCCATCACTTTGCAGACGCTTCTGAAGAACATGGATATGGAACAGTATCTTACCTGCGCTTCATTAACAGAGAAGGAAACATACAAAATAGTTTTGTGATGGGCAAATCACGGGTGAGGCCTCTAAGGAGTGGTATCAGTGTTCCAAAGATGGAGTTGACTGCTGCAACCTTGTTGATTAAGATGAACAAGCTCGTCATGAAGGAGCTCGAAGGTCACTTTGAGATTCACAGCGTCACCTTCTGGAGTGACTCTATGATCGTCTTGAGGTATATATTCAATGAAACAAGATTTATCATCTTTGTTGCTGATCATGTTGCTGTGATCAGGGAAGGATCAAGGCCCTCACAATGGCGTCACGTCAGATCAGAGTCTAACCCCACTGATTATGCATCGAAAGGAATAAAGGCCTCCAAAACTGAGAAGTTGGAGATGTGGAAACATGGCCCAGGTTTCCTGTGGAAAGTCTTGCATGAGTGGCCACAGCAACCCACTGACCTTCATGAAGAACTCTCAGCTTACGATGAGGAAGTCAAGAAGGAAAGGGTCACTGTTACTGCATGTGTTGAGAAAGATTTCTGGGATGTTTTATTTGAAAGATACGCCTTGTGGGAGAAGTTAAGAAGAGCAGTGGCCTGGCTAATCTGAGCAGCACACATGCTGGTGCGACTACTAACACGGCCACCAGCATTGCCTGCCTCATTGGTGAGACTGGAGAAGACATCCTACCTTTCATTGTCAGAATTAGAAGAAGCAGAGAGAAGAATCGTGAAGAATGTTCAAAATCAGGCCTTTCCTGAAGAGTTGTCCAGGCCAGATGGAAGTAAAGGCCCTCTTGCCAAGTTGAAGCCATCTGTGACAAATGCAGTCTTGCGAGATAGAAGAAGACTCAATTGTGCAGACCTGGACTATGATGCTAAGCACCTGATTATATTGCCTGAGAAGCATCGTGTCACAGAAGTGATCATCCTCCATTACCACCTTGCGAACAGTCATGTGGGTCCTCACCAACTACTAGCAGAGACGAGGCAGTGGTTCTGGATAGTAAACGGCATTTCATCCATCAGAGGTGTCTTACAGCGATGTCTTGAATGTAAACGCCAGAATGCCAGAGTTGGAGAACAGATTACGGCACCCCTTCTGGCAGTAAGAGTTTCGTCAGACAGCCACCAATTGATCTACCCATTTGCTGCCGCAGATCTACGTTCACACTGGACCCCTTACAAGATCAACAAAGAACCCTAAGCTCTACAAGCACTATGGTTGTATTTTCACCTGCCTCAGGTACAGAGCTGTCCACATTGAAATTGCAAGTGACCTGTCAACAGACAGTTTTATTAATGCAGTCACAAGATTTATTGTGAGAGGAGGTCCTCCCAGAGTGATCTACAGTGACAATGGCTCCAACTTTAGAGGAGCAGAGACTGATGTTGTGAAAGCAATGAAGACTTGGGACCAAGGAAGAGTTGGAAGCGAGCTACTTCGAAAGAATATGCAGTGGTATTTTAATCTAACTCTAGCTAGCCACCAGGGAGGTGTTTGGGAGCGCCTGATTCACTCTGCCCGAAGAATCCTCCATGCCCTGATAGGTGAACACCTTGTTAACGAGGAGACTTTGACGACCTTCCTGGTAGAAGTAGAAAAGATCCTTAACAGCAGACCAATCACCCAAGTGTCAAGTGATCCCAACGATTTGGAAGCCTTGACCCCTAACTACATTCTGCTATTACGTCAGAATCCGTGTTGAGCGCCTAGTGAATTAGAAGATGCTGACAAGTTTCAAGCACAATGGAAACATGTGCACGTTTTGGCCAACAAGTTTTGGGCACGCTGGGTTAAAGAGCATCTCCCCATGTTGCAGGAACACCAGAAGTGGCTTAAGCAAAGGCAAAATTTCCAAGCCAGAGACTTCGTCATTTTGAAGGATGTGAATGTTCCTTGAGGCCAGTGGCCTAAAGCATTAGTTCAGGAAACCTTCCCTGACTCTGATGGTGTGGTATGACAAGTTCTGGTGAGAAGTGCAACTGGTGTCTTCAGGAGAGATGTTCATAAACTCTGCCTTCTGGAAGAAGAGTACTGAAGTCTATTGAGGAGTCCATGGAGAAGAACAAAACCTGAACTTGTGACATTAGTCATTGGACTACTAAAGTAACGTTCTCTAGAGAGCTGTGAATGTAGATTTAGTGAATCGCTCGTTCGTGTAAGTAAAAGTCAAGTTCAGCGTATCTCAAATATTATTCTTGTTAGTGCAGTTCAGTAGCAAACATTGGGTTCCTACAATGGTCAAACTCTTGTCTTAGGCAGTGATACAAGCTGTCGGTTTCATCTTTTTCCAAGTGAAGCCGTTTTGGTTTGGGTGACGCTCCATCGATATCCAATCAATTGACCTTGCACTTCTTGCTCATTTTGCCTTTTAAAGAGCATTTGGCCAACATGATCTCCTTTAAATCTGAACCATAACCAAGGAGCCAATGACAAGCAAAGGAACTGCATATATGTTCGTATTTGTCAAGTCATGCCCTTACTTGCCTGCCCTCAGTACTACTGTGCAAAATTCATGACAGTGACTTGCAACCAAACTTCCCCAAGCAGGTCTGAGCGCACCCTATTGTTTGCTTACAAAGGGCACCTCTATTTGGGAACAAAATAGGAATGCGCAGAAAAATGGTCCGAAATCTGTTCCCAAATGACCAATTTTGGAACATTATGTTCCATTCACAGAGAGGAACTCAGACAAAATTCCTAAATTATCAATTTGGGAACAATATGTTCCATTCACAGATAGGAACTCAAAACAAAACGGTCCTAAATTTAGTAATAAGTGGCCAATTTGGGAACAAACTGTTCCATTCACAGATGGGAATTCGGAACAAAGCGGTCCAATAAATATCATTTGGGGAACGATATGTTCCATTGGCAGATGAGAATTCAGAACAAAACAGTCCTAATATACCAATTTGGGAACAATGTGTTCCATCAACAGATAGAAACTCAGAACAAAACAGTCCGAAATGACCAATTTGGGAACAATGTGTTCCATCAACAGATAGAAACTCGGAACAAAACAGTCCTAAATGACCAATTTGGGAACAATGTGTTTCATCAACAGATAGAAACTTGGAAGAAAACAGTCCTAAATGACCAATTTGGGAACAATGTGTTCCATCAACAGATAGAAACTCGCAACAAAACAGTCCTGTAGGTCTAGTAAGCGCCACGGACGTCACAGTTTGAATGCTCAAGTTTGATCATCCTGGGCGTAAACACGAGAGAAACAAAAGTGATCGTGGGTGTGTGATGTATGTGTGTGTGACGCGTGATTCAACTGAAAAAAAAGACAAAATATTTAAGTACAAAATATAACGACACAAAAACCGACTGCGGAGTAAACTTGCAAAACTATGGCGACTCAAATTCTAGAATTTGTACTTCTGGGCTCACATAACAGTGAAGCAGCTAAGGAAAAAACGCGGTAGAAACCAGCAGATCGTACTTTCAGCGCTAACAAGCACTGACCAAAAATAAAAAACGCTTAAGTATTACAGAGTGGGTAGCATAATTCCCAGGGGTCACGGAAAAATGTGACACCCAAAAGCAAAGAAAGTTCTAGTAGTTACATTACCGGCCCCTGAACTAAATTGAGTTCACTAAGTGCGTAAAGACTAGAGTTTACAAAATTAACGTATAACGAGTATCTAAGTAAGCCTACAAGTGTTCAAAGTTCAAGCAAAACAACTAGTGCATAAATTAACAAGTCTTTCTCATTGCAAATTAACTACACAATAGCTATAAAGATCAAATAGAGTTCTTCCTTGGAAGTGGATTCTCTTGTTCGAGGAAGTACAATTTTGAAATTGGCCTTGTCAATATAGACGACTTTGTGGCAACCTTGACTGATCGGATAAATCCATCCCTTCCTGCGTGTACTTCGAGAACGCGACCTAAAGGCCACTGGCCACAATGAACTCTTTCATCAGCGATGAGGACTAGGTCGCCTACAGCAAAATCACAATGTGGCTTGATCCATTTCTGCTGTTCTTGCAAGCTTGGTAAGTATTCCGACAACCATCTCTTCCAAAATACATCCGCAAGGTATTGCACTTGCTTCCAATGACGTTGGCAATATAAATCATTCTTCACGAAGACTCCTGGCAGCAAATTCCCTCAAATTCCCTAAACTTCCACCATCAATGTTCGCAGTACCTCTCCAGAATCCAACTGCTCTCTAAGAAGGACTCTCAGAATCTTTCTCACTGAACGAATTACTCATTCCCAGACTCCTCCCATGTGTGATGCTCCAGGGGGGTTAAACTTCCACTCGATATTCTTCTGGTGTAGAAACCCTTCTGCCGATTCTAGCCATCTATGGCCTCACGGATCTCCCTCTCTCCGCCAGTTAAATTGGTACCACTGTCAATTCTTATCATCTTCGGCATTCCTCTTCTGCTAATGAATCTGCGAGGAACGTTGATAAACGAATCCCTTTCAAGAGATTCGGTCACTTCAATGTGGGTTGCTCGCATAGTTAAGCAAGAGAAAAGACATCCATAATGTTTTACAGTACTTCTGCCTTCCTTTACGTACAACGGACCAAAGAAATCTATGCTAACGTAAGAGAACGGGGGCTCATCAGGTGTTGGCCTGTCGCTGGGTAAATCTGCCATTACTTGTTGGCCCTTTAAAGCATTTTGTTTTCGGCAGGTCAAGCAGTTACCAAGTACTCTTCGGACAGCGGCCCGTCCCTGGATAATCCAGTACTTCAGTCTCAAATTGGTCAGGACATGTTCTTGGCCTAGGTGTCCCACAGATTCATGGACATCCATAACAAGCAGCTTGGTAACGTGGTGCTTGGTGTTTTGACTGGTACTCCAATGTAGAATTCTGAAGCCTACTGCCAACTCTCAACATTCCCACTCCATCTAGAAATGGTTTCAATTTGTGCACTGAGCCAAATGAGCCGATATCCTTCAATGCGCGCTTCTCAGGTTCTCCATGCCTTACATCTTGGAGGGCCTTAATCACGGGTAGAAAGGCTGATTTCTGCACATACTTGATGATTTAATCCTCCGCATATCATAATTCGTCAATAGACAGCCTGCCACGAGGTGATACATTAACAGGTGATGAAACTCGCAAGGAACTCGTTCCCTTTAACAGTTGTACAAGTCTCAGAAGCCAAGCAACAGCTCTCTTGAACTTGAACGTCCAGTGGTCGTTTCTCCTCCATCTGGGTAACGTGATTCGTTTGGCCTCGAGCTCTGACTTCTGGGTCTTCATCAGAGATGATGGCTAAGGAGACTGGATTGATGGGCCATGATGACTTATTTTCCAACAGAAATGCAGGGCCTCTGAACCATCTCTCGTTGCTCAATAACTCCTTCACCGTCAGACCTCGGCTAACATCATCCGCTGGGTTGATGTTAGTTGGCACATAATTCCACTGGGAAAGTTCTGAACCATCATGAATCACTGTAAGCCGATTGGCCACAAACGTGTAGAATCGTTTGTCTTCATTCTTGATGTATTGGCGAATGGCTGTTGAATCAGTCCAAAATGCCGTCCTGTCAAACTTTAACTGGAATTCCTCTTGTAAGGTCTGGTTCATTCTGACAGCCAAAACAGTGGCTGATAACTCTAATCTGGGTATAGTCATCTGCTTCATGTGAGCTAAGCGGGATTTCCCAACAAGGAAACTGCAATGAATGCAGCCATTCTCGTTGACGAGTCTCGCATATGATACCATCCCATAAGCAATCTGGGAAGCGTCTGTGAAGTGATGAAACTCAGCATTCTATATCTGGCCAAAGTCTACCGGCCTCAAACATCTTGGCAAGGCAACACTTGATAGCAAAGGTAAATCCGATAACCATAGTCTCCAGCAATGAGATTCTTGTCTTCTGATTTCTTCATCCCAGCCGAGTCCTTGCTTGCAAAGATCTTGGAGAAGCCTCTTTGCAGGTAAGATGATCGGTGATACCATGCCAAGCGGATCATAAATTGAACTTGTCACTGATAGGATCCCTCTTCGCGTAAAGGGCTTATCCTTTGGTGTCTTCTTAAAGGTAAACATGTCGCTATTCATGTTCCACTGAACACCAAGGGTTCTTTCAGTAGGAAGGACGTTACAATCCAAATCCAGATCCAAACTGAAGGAGCTCTGTATGGAGTTGGAATGGTTTTAAGGACTTCCTTCCAGTTACACAACCATTTAGTCCATTGAAATCCATCTCTTAACAGCAAGGCACACAGATCTTCTCTCAACTCAACAGCAACTTTGGTCGATTTCACCGATTTCAAACAATCGTCCACATAAAAGTTCTTCAACACTGTGTCGACAACTTCATGGTGAAAGTCTCCTGCATTGTCTTGAGCAGTCTTTCGAAGACCAAAACTGGCACAGCTTGGAGAGGACGTGCTACCAAATAGATGAACCTTCATTCTGCATTCGACTGGCTGTTTAGATAAGTTGTCATCAAGCCACCATAGGAACCTCAGAGCATCAACATCCTTTGGATCAACCATTACTTGATGGAACATAGCTTCGATGTCTGAGGATAGAGCTACTGGTTCTTGACGAAATCTTACAAGGACACCAAACAGGCTATTGGTCAGGTCTGGGCCACTTAATAGCTGGTCATTAAGCGATGTTCCTTTGTATCAAGCTGCGCAGTCAAAAACCAATCTTAATTTCCTGGGCTTATTAGGATTGAAGACAGCATGGTATGGAAGATACCACAGAGGTTTGCCATCGACATCGAGCTCATCTTTAGGTACTCGTTGGGCATAACCCTTTGAGATGTAGTCATGGATAGTCGCCCTGTAGCTTTCAAACAATTTGTGATCACATAGAAGCTTCTTCTTGAGCAGTTGCAGTCTGTGGTCTGCAAGAATTCGATTGTTTGACAGATAAGGAGGCTGCTGTCTCCAGGGAAGTGCTATTTGGTAATGACCAAGCATATCAAATCAACAAAGTCAGTTTTCCAAAACTTCTCTAGTTGCTGTGAAAGGGTTTTATCATCATCTTGCGTTTCCAAACGTAAGAAATTTACATTGAAGCTGTCTTCTTGACCAATCTTCTCTGTTGGTCCTATTATCGTCCAGCCCAGTGGTGATCGAATGCCCCCTGGCTCGCCTTTGCTACCACGTTTTTCTTTGAGGACCCAACGCAAAGGCCTGCTGCCACAGTATGCCTGTCACCAGCTACTGGAGCTGCAACAGAAGTTTGACGAACTAGAAGCATTGGCTGTCTTTAGACGTCCCGAAGACATCAACATTGCAGTTGATTACCTAAACCTGTCTTTCCTCATCAAGAAAGCCAATGGTGGTTACCGCCTAGTCCCGCATTTGCTGACGTCGGCTGCTACAGCAAGCCTTAGCCCTCTGTTATGCTCGATGTCAACTCCACCCTACGTCTCATTGCCCAGTGGAAACACATCGTCGTGACAGAGCAGACCAGCGCCTTCTACCAGATTCCACTCTCACGCAACTCTGAAATATTGTGGCGTTGTTACACCATTCTGGGATGTGTGCGTGTATGTGCGGTCTGCCATGGGCATGCCAGGCTCAGAGACGGCCCTGGAAGAGCTCATGAGCCGAGTGCTTGGTGACCTGTTGGAGGGACGCATCGTTGCTAAAATCGCCGATGATCTGTATTGTGGAGGTGACTCCCAGAAGAACTCCTGCACAACTGGACGAAAGTTTTATGAGCCCTCAACAAATGTGATCTCCGCCTTTCCACATCAAAGACCATCATCAACCCACAATCCACAACAATACTAGTCTGGATTTGGAACTGTGGCACCTTAAGTGCCAGCCCACACCGCATCGCCGCCCTTGCTTCATGCCCTGCACCATAGCCTGAATGCGGTCCTTCTTGGAGCTTTCAAGGTGCTCTCCCGTGTCATTCCTGGATGCTCTACACTCCTCACAACACTTGACAACACCACCGCTGGCCACAAATCTAACGAAACGATCCAGTGGACAGATGACCTCAAACATCATTCCACAACGCCCAGGCAGCCCTATCCACTACCCGCACCATCTTGCTTCCCAGACCTGGCGATCAACTGTGGATTGTGACAGACGGAGCTGTCCAAAAACCTGGAATAGGTACCACCCTATATGTCACCCGTGATGGCAAGCTACGCTTGGCAGGATTTTTCAGTGCCAAACTGCGCAGCTCACAGACAGCGTGGCTACCATGTGAGGTAGAAGGTTTAGCTATTGCCATTGCCACCAAGCACTTCAGCCCTTATCTAATACAGTCTCATCATAAGGCCTGCATACTGACTGACAGCAAACCATGCATACAGGCATATGAAAAACTTTCCCGAGGAGAGTTCTCTGTAAGCCCTGTGTGTCTACCTTCCTATCTACTGTAAGCCAATATCAGGCCTCTGTAAGACGCGTATCCGGCTCCGCAATACTGCCTTCAGATTTCTCCAGCGGTAATGCTGCCCCATGTGAAGATGAAGCCTGCCAGGTCTGCACGTTTACGAAGCTCACACGAGAATCAGTTGTCAGACACACATCTACTCACGACATACTTAGTGGCACCAAACACCTCCCATTTACCAGTGGCACTTCCTGGTTGACCACACAGGCCGAATGCCCCAATTTACGACACATTCATGCACACCTACAACAAGGAACACATCCTTCGAAAAAGCTAACGAACTTGAGGGATGTTAAGAGGTACCTCAACGTAGCAACCATCGCGAAGGATGGCTTGCTTGTCGTTAAGCGCAACGAGCCTCTTGCACCAACCCATGAATGCATTATCGTCCCCCAACAAGTACTGGAGGGACTCTTAACCGCTTTACACATTCAACTTGGTCACCCATCCAGTCATCAACTCAAAGCTGTAACCAAGCGCTATCTGTATGCCCCGGACATAGACAAGGCCATTGACCGTGACTCAAGCTTGCCACCAATGTGCTGCCTTGTGCCAAACCCCGCAAATGCAAGAAGAGCAGTCATCTTCCCCTCCACCTGATGCCGTTGGCGTATCATTCACTGCAGATGTTATCAAGCGCTCAAGACAGCTCATACTAGTGTTATGTGAGTGTGTGACCTCCTTCACAACCACAACTCTGCTGAAGGATGAGCGACACAACACGCTACGTGATGCCCTAATCCGCCTTTGTGTCCAAATGCATCCACTAGATGGGCTGTCAGCCTTCATATGCACTGACCCCGCCTCAGGATTCAAGGCACTAACAGAAGACCTACTACTGAAACACCACAGAATCACCATAGAGATTGGAAATGCCAAGAATTGTAACAAGAACCCCATAGCTGAGAGGGCGGTTCAAGAAGTTGAAAACGAGTTACTCCGACATGACCCACTAGGTGGTCCTGTGTCTCCTGTGACCCTGTCAGTAGCGACAGCTACCCTTAACGCACGCATCCGCTCACGTGGCCTTTCTGCTAGGGAGATGTGGACAGAGCAAGATTGATTCTCAAACCAGCAGATACCACTGCACGACCAGCACCTCATTGTTCAGCAACACAAACAACGTATTGCCAACCACCATCACAGCGAGAAGGCTAAGGCCCCCATCGCCAAGAACCTCCCAGCTGAGCACATCACCATTGGTGAATTAGTCTACGTGTACTCCGATCGCAACAAGACTAGAGCACACCATCGCTATTTAGTCATAGAAGTAACCGGTTCTTTCTGCAACATCAGAACGTTTGTCGGTTCTCAGCTTTGAAGCACATCTTACCGCATGAAAACCTCAGATTGCTATCGGGTTCCATCTGAAGTAGCAGACTCCCGACCATTGGCAGTCAACGATGAAGCAGACTTGTCATCCGATGAAGCCCCACCAGCACAGCCAGTGCGTTCCCCACCCTCTCCATCTGTCATACCGAGTGCAATCTCAACACCTGGTACTCAAGAAGTTCCTGATGACAACCTTCCTGCTGGAGGACATGAACCCCATGAGGACACCCAAACCGATCCAGTAATAGACTCCCCCACCAGTGACTCTGATACCAGTCCCCTGCCCAGAAGATCCACATGCGTGCGACGTCGTCTAGCATGTTACAATGATTTTGTTCTAGACTCCAACTAACTAACCAACAACAGTGGCATGAAGAACATTAATAGTTTTCGTTACAAGTTTTCTATCCGTTCCTGTTTGTAATTAACATGTAGCTCTAAGGTTAGCTCACTACACATTTGTAAAGCTCGAGGGAAGAAGAAAAGGAAGTCACGCCAGTACTGGTCAGCGGTACGCTAGTTATAAGCATGCTTAGTAGCATCCTTCTCTCTTGGTCCTTGTGCTCTCGTGCGTGTCAGCTTGTTCTGTGATTGCTCAGGCTTATTAAAGGTTCCAGTTGTGTAAAGAATCGTGTCATCGATTTACCTCCGCTTTATTTACTGGCACATGACACCGAAGGAAAAATATGCAGCATCTTTCAACTGGTTGATGTGGGCTCTGCCGACATGTCCTCCACACTTGAACACTTTGCCATCTGGATGGCACTGTCTGATGGCCTTTGCAGCACTGGAATCACCATCTTGCCACACAACTTCCACTTTAGAACCCTCATCTGCAGCTTGCTTGTAACATTCCTCTGCAAGAATCCCCTCCACAGACTTTGCAGTCCCTTCAAACAACTCTTTGTTCACCACAGTATCTTTTCCCTGCATACACTTGTGTCCATACCACAACAATCCCCCCATCAAATAAGTTTTTACAATAAATGACCCATTCTTACTAAAATGACCACACG